AAAAAAAAAATAGAAACTAACACAAAGGAAGTCACTAACTAAAAAGCTATGGTTTAGGATGGTTGAAGACAGAAAATCTTATTTATATGGCTTTTAAAATTGTCATAGGACTGCAGAGCCTCATAATATTCCTATGAGGAAGTTAGAGGGTTTAGTGTGTTCTTCCAGCATCTTCTGGCTGAGGGAGGGAAGACATACAGGTTATGTCACACACCACAGCCCCACAGTGGTGAATAGCATGGCTAGGGTGGGGAGGTGATAATGCTCGAGCACCCCCTGTGTTCTAGATCCACAGTCCTCAAAGTCACAGAGCCTGGAGGGTCTCCAAGACCTTTGCAGGGCTTCTTTCAGGTCAAAACTGTTTTCTTAATAATACTGAGAGGTTCTTTTCCTTTTTTTTATGCTCGTTTTGTGACTTCACAGAAGAGTTTTATGAAGGCTTCATCAGCGTTAAAATGTCATTCTTCTGGGGCGCCTGGGTGGCTCAGTCATTAAGTGTCTGCGTTCGGCTCAGGTCATGATCCCAGGGTCCTGGGATCGAGTCACACATCGGGCTCCCTGCTCAGCAGGAAGCCTGCTTCTCCCTCTCCCACTCCTCCTGCTTGTGTTCCCGCTCTCGCTATCTTTCTCTCTGTCAAATAAATAAAATCTTAAAAAAAAAAAAAAAGTCATTCTTCCGACGGCCAATGGAATGTATGCTTATGTATAATCTTGGGTTTTAAAAATTGCTGATGTGCTAAACACTGATGGATATAACTCACAAAGACACTCTAAACTTGAAGGGTTTAAAACGGTTTTAAGACCAAAAAAAAGTTTGAGAACTGCTGTTTTTCAGATACATTGCTAAGCCTGTCAGAAGTGTGATTTCATTTAATGCTCCAATACCTCCACGATGCAGGCCCGGTTACCATTCCTCTTGAGCACGGGAGGAGATGAAAGCCTGGAAGAGTTAATGACTTGCAAAGGGTCACATAAACAGTGGAGTTGCAAAGTCACAATTCGAACACAGGTTTTGAATCCTTAACTCTTTTGCTGACTGTGCTGTCAGGCATGCTGTCCAGTAGGCCAGGAAATGCCTGGATGTTGACAGTAACTTGCCCTCAGAACCTGCTCCCCCCCACCCCCCAGGGAATGTAGATAGGGAGATTATCCACAGGATGGTGTGAAGCAGAGACCACATTCTACTGGCTTATGGACTGAGTCCAGCACACAGGTGTCCCATGCAGGGTGAAAAGTCAAACAGTTGGGTGTCAGTTTTTTTCATCTGGGAGACTTAATTTTATCTCAAAATTGGAAGATCTAGACTGGGTTGGTATACCTATATGGCCACAGTCGGCTGCAGCTTATGTCAGGTCTTTGAGATGAGACGTGTGTTCTAGTTTGCCACAGACCTCACCACCCCTATTACCTAGAGCTCACGTGCCTCCTTTCTGTTACCTGTTTTCAGTCTTTGGATTGGAAACAGCTGGAGACGTTCTGCCTCCTGCATAGTGTCTATAGCCAATCTGTACTCAACTTATTTGAAAACTAAAAAGACACTGGCAGTAAAGGGACAAAATACATTCCACTCTGATTACCACCACCTGGATATAGTAAATAGCCCACTGGCAATGCCGAATAGAGAACAGGTTGCTTCCTTCCTTACTAAAGCATCAAATTCTAATCCATTAAAGAATAAGGATGTGCCAGTGAATTAACATTTATTTTTAAGTGTGTAGCCCTTTCTTTTTTTAGTGTTAATAGTGAAATAAGCACATTACACCTATTGCCCTCATTTTATGTTTATTTTAGTAATGTCTGTTGTCCACATCATTATCGTGTCTGGACCCTTTCATAAACTTAAAATGTCTCTGTGAACCTTTGTGTGCATGTTAGATCAGTCATTTGAAACAATTTTGAGATTGCCAACCTAAAGGACTTCATTTCTCCTGGGCATTTGGACTGAATTACTGAATTTCAAATTTTTATGCATAAGCTATCTCCCCATTTCAGTAGTGAATATTGACCATTTATACTAATTTTTAGATATATATTTGTTTGCCTTTTTCTTCTTTTGTCTCACCCCAGACTATAAGTTTCGTAAAGCTGGCAGTCAGGTCTCTTTGTTCACAATGTCTATTGTGACGGTGTTCAGCACATAATAACCGTAAATAATGGAATAAATAAATGACTAAGATAAAGTATATCAGTCGTGCATATAACCTTTATTTTTCTCTATCCCTAAAAATTATAATAAAAGATTTTTAGTAAAAATTTTCATGTTTCCCAACTTGGTTAAATTGGGGAGACATTTGTTTCTTATTCTCCATGTAAATATACATCCGGTCCTGTGTGTGTATGTGTGTGTGTGTCTGTGTGTGTGTGTTTCTTGTTCTGTTTAGGATAGTTTCCCTTCTTCCTGATGCAAGGTCAGTAGGAAAGTTACATATCCATGCAGCTAAGAAAAGATGCTCACTGAGACCAAGATACAGGGTGAGGCCATTGAACTTGAAAGTGCAGCACAGAGACCCCTCCATAGATGCTCTTCCTGCAGTTGGCAGTTACAGAGTTATGTGGCCATTAGAAAAGTCTTAAGTGTCATAGTAGCTTTTAGGCGCTGTCTTCTCCAAAGGGGGCATCTAGCTCTTAACCTATTGCTGAAAGAGAAATACCATTGTCTATTAATACTACTGGAACTAAAGATGAATAGTGAATTGGCCTTGATCTGACAGTGAGTTTGACTTTGATAGCTCATCACTTAAAAAGGTTCTTTTATATTTATGAAAAAAAGCATGACGTCAAGTCGTGGGGGGTGGGGGCGGAATTGATAGCAATATTGAAGACCAAACTCGTAGGGCTTCCAAAAAAAAAAAAAAAAAAGCCCCTTGTGCGAATGGTATTTTTTTTTTTTTACATGCATATCTAATTAGCTTAGGTTATTATAAGCTGGGCCGCTGTGATAAAGTTTCCGGTGGTGTCTCGGGATACCTTGTTCATAGTGCCTTCTCTGTGCCAGTCAGCCTTCGAGTCAGAATTACAGAAAGGAGAGGGAGTGAATAGTCTACCGTTTCTCGTTGGATTGGGGCCACCTAAAACGTTGTTATGCTGGAAATGCTAGAATATAATCACTATCAGGTGAGCTTTATTCTTATTCATATTTAGTGTCTGAAATGTAATGCAATAAATTGAGTAATGCACCTTTTCATGTTATTGTACTCTTTCCAGTAAGTGCAGGTCTACTAGTTTAATGCTGTTTACTGTTTGATAAACTCAATATGGTTTTGAACAAAGTAAATATCAGTAGGGTATTTTTTTTTCCCCTAGTGCCTGGCTGTGCTGTCTCCATCAGCTCCTGTTCAGAGCTCATAAGATTAAATTGTGTTTATCAAGGAAAAAAGTAACTTTAAATTGAGTGTCATTGATTTAAAAAAAAAAAAGCATTTTTAATTCTGTATTAGTGTTTATAAGAAAGGAGGAAAAAGATCCTGGTGGCTTCGTAGTCATGCCTTGAAAAACACATACATGTAAGTGTGAGGCGTTTTGAAAGAAACTGCTTCCTGTAAATTGCTTTTTATGTTGAGTTCAAGATCTTAATTAAAATGTTGAATAATCATGTCCAAATGAAAGTGGGAGGAATTAATCTACAACTAGTTGATTTAATCATCAGAGTGTTTCTGTTTATTTTCTACAACCATTTTACACCTGGCTCTTAAGGAGGTTTGTTGTTGTTTTTAAACAGAAAGCTATTCTGTTTGCCAAGGAAAGTAAAATAAATTGTTATGCTCCTTTTTCTAGATTGTCCTCTGATCTCAGTAAACCCTTACAGTTGTGTTGGGGAAAGTTTTGCCCTCCAGATGGTTGCAAATTTTAAATCATTGGACATGAGCAAAAAGGGCACAAGGTTTCAAAGAGATGTGCAGCTAATTAGCGGGGAAATAAAACAGGGCAAAGTATTACCCCAAATCCTGAGCGTTAGACTTTCAACTTCAGTAATATCAAAATCCATTAGCACAGTGCCTGGTACATAACAGGGGCTTAATAATTTATTCTGCTGGTGCACTGGCCAGTCTCATGTTTGTGCGTGAGAAAAGAGCCGAGTGAAACTCACGAATAACGGCGCTGTCTTCTCTTCCCTCCGTGGCTATGTTCAGGTGCAGACCCACCTCGAAAACCCCACCAAGTACCACATACAGCAAGCCCAAAGGCAGCAGGTAAAGCAGTACCTTTCTACCACTTTAGCAAATAAACATGCCAACCAAGTCCTGAGCTTGCCATGTCCAAACCAGCCTGGCGATCATGTCATGCCACCAGTGCCGGGGAGCAGCGCACCCAACAGCCCCATGGCTATGCTCACACTTAACTCCAACTGTGAAAAAGAGGTAATTCATGTCTCCTCCCCTCTACTGTCTTCTTACACTGAATGAATGTCTGTTGGATATTATTCCCACACTTGACTGTGGACTCTAGTCTGTCTGCGGGGCCCCACACGCCGCCAGCCTTGGTCCCAGATTCTGCGGCGTGGCCGCTGCGCTCCGGCCTCCTCACGCCGTCACCGGGGTCTGTTGGGTCATGGCTCAGGACGGGACACCTGGCCGCTCCAGAGTGGGACGGGGAGGTGAGGACACTTCCTCTCCCACCCTGTTTCCGCTCCGTTAGCCGGGCGCTCTCTTCTCTTCAGTGCCTTTCCATTTACAAAGCAGTAAAAATGCAGAGAGAGGAGAAGGCAAAGGTGGAGAAGGAAAAAAGCAAAAATAGAAAAGGTGTGGGACAGGCGGTTTAGAAGTTCCGCTTGTTGTGAATGTCTGGAATATTATTTTTATTTCTCCCTGAGTTGAAGAAGAAAAAAAAAAAAGCACAGAACGTGCGTGGATGGATTTGAATAATGTAGCACTTGAGAATTTAACAGAAAAGCAAAGGTTTTAATTGCTAGATAAATTCCGTTTCATAATAAGATTGCTGCTGCCGTGAAATCTGCTTTTGTAAAGGCTGGATTGGAGACGAGATTCAAACACACCTCAAGCTAATTGTTGCATCAAAATTTGAAGCATAAAAATACCTGAGGGGAGGGTTGTGATTTAATGCCTGTTATTTCCAAATTATGAGATGATAAGCCTCATTTTAATGGAGTTTTTACTGTACTCTGAAATGTTCATGTGATTTCAGAGGTGACTCTTCTGAAGTTGCTGAATTTTAATTTCTAGAGGGACTAAGTCTTTTCCCCTGTGCCCAAACCAACTGTCTTATTTTTCTCTGTCCGTATTTGTCATCTATCAAGCTGATTTGATGGAAGTTCTTTCTGCACTATTTTATTTCTTGGTCAGATTCCACTTTGTTTGAAAGCTTATTAGTCCATCTTGTTGCTGCACCATCAGCCTCGTGTGAACATGTCATTGAAAAGTCATTTGCAAATCCAAGTCATGGGCTGATTTTGCTTGTGTTTTTGCAGGGATTTTATAAGTTTGAAGAGCAAAACAGGGCGGAAAGCGAATGTCCAACTATGAACACACATTCACGAGCATCGTGCATGCAGGTACTGAATGACTCGGCAGCCCAAGGATGTAACACTTTGTAATGAGAATCTATATTTGTGGCTCATCACACCTTCCTGATAACTTAAGGGTTTTTTTCCCCTCATTGGTTTTTTTTTTTGTTTTTTTTTTTTTAAATAGAGAAAGCTATGAACAGGGCCATTTTCTTCATAGTGTCTCATGATTAAATAACTCAGGGAAATTAAACTTAAAATGCACTTTCCCTAAGTTGCTTCAAGTCATTAAAAAGTGCTTGAAATACATAAATTTTGATACATAAAACATAATATGCTGTACTTCATTTAGATACCATCATCAGTGTGTTACACAAATTTGTAGGGTAGCAACTTCAGTAGACTATTAGTAAAACCACAATATGCATGTGACTGTGTGTGTGTGAGAGAGAGAGAGAGAGAAAGAGAGAGATCTGTATATTTTATAAAATGGACTCATGAAACACGCATTTGAAACTTTATTAATTTAATAATACTTCACGGATTTTTCCCAAGTGATTAGAGATTCTTCTATGACATCCTATTTAATATATAAATAATGCTACATTTATCAACATATTTACATATTTTAAAGTGTGTGTATAGATACATAAGAGAAAGAAAAATAAGCATTGAAAAATTCTTTTTTTTTTTTTTTTTTGCTTTTCTATATTTCCCCTTATTAACTTGCATTAGTGGTTCTTTTTTATAAGAAAAAAATTATTTTAAAAAACTATCACACCAAGCCCACTAATTTTATTTCCCTAAAAAAATTTACAATGAAAGGTCGATCCTAAGTTCTCTGGCCCATTTGCCTGTTCAACTCAATTAGAAAATCATCTCTTGAAAGCAAACAAACAAAACTGGTGTATCTAGAAATGAAACTTAATAAACTACTGGCAGTTATTCAAAACTGACCTGCAATTATTCTTCTTAGGGGGTCACTTAATAACCCTCATTTTTTGGGGATGTTTACTATAGCCATGGCGCTATGAGCACTTTATATGGTTTATCCTGAAATCTCACAAGAATCCAATAAGGCAATGAGTATTATTAACCCCATTTTCCAGATTGGCCTATTGAGGCTCTTAAAGATGGAAGGCTTTGCCCCTAATACAGAACGTGGGAGAATGAGGATTCCAGGCCCTGTGGCACTGGATCCTGTCCCCTTTAATTGGAAATGATAAAAAGACGTAAAGGAGCATTCCTCTGAGCTTTGAGATTTCATTGTGTACTTGTGAAGCACTCTTTAGGTCCAAGCATGGATGCGTGCGCGCGCGTGCACACACACACACACACACACACACACACACACACATACCAACCAGCTCAGATACATCAGGTGTTTACAAAGAAATGTTTTCACAACCTTGTCTTTGCAACTGCTGCAATGCACATGTAATCACTGTTGTTTATTATCATAACTGATGTTTTGGTACTTCAGGAATAAAATTGATCTAGTGGGAATGTCAGCTCCATGACTGTAATGATAACTTCGTCCTGGTGTAGTCCTCCGGGAGTACCGAGCACACTGGCAACTGTACAAGGAGAAACTTATTTTACAAGTCACTGCAGGATCAGTGCAGGGTTAGCCGGCCGCCTGAGAGCCACAGTGCCCCCTACATCCCTAGGAGAGCAAAGGTCTGAACTACCATCTGGGTTGTCCTACTGCAAGGAAGGTCTACGAAGGCTGTGGGGTATAGTCTTGAGAAGGAAAAAAAAAAAAAAAGAAATGGCAGCCATCATTTCAAGATGAGGTTTTCTGGTTCATCTTTCCTGTTTGGGAGAGGCAGTTGAGCATAGCACTTGAGAGCATGGGTTCAAGTTGTGGCTCTAACCCTCTTCCGTGTATGACTTTGGGCAAGTTGCTTCTCATTTACCTCACCTGGCAGATTGATATACTAATAGTACCTACACTGATAGAGTTATTCTGAGGGGGGAAATAATTTAACCCATCAAAAGCCCTGAACCTGGTACTTGGCACCTACTAATCCCTCACTAAGTGCTGGTTGCAAATGTCATCCTTATCACCTGTTAGTGTCGGTGACCTTCAGTAATGTTCCTATTTGGGAGGAAGAGGGCAGTAATTTCTTAGCATCTAACTGAAGAGCTTTAGTGGTTAGGGTAAGAAAAGACCACGGATCTCTCTTTGGGTGGTTTTACACAGTTTTTGCTTATGTTTGTCTCTCTTACATTGCCCTTTTTCCTACAGATGGATGATGTGATCGATGACATCATTAGCCTAGAATCAAGTTATAATGAAGAAATCCTGGGATTGATGGATCCTGCTTTGCAAATGGCAAATACGGTATTCATGACTTTTTTTTTTAAAGAAAATCTTGAGATATTTCCAGTGTTCTCTCCCTTTTCCTGAACTTTTAGTTTATTTCTGCAAGTGATTGATTGAGAAATTTATTAATAATAAAACAGAGAATTATCTCAGGATCACAAATAAGTGACTTTGACATCAGAAATTAAGAATTTCTCATGAGTTTATTGGTAACCCCATGATAAAGCTCTACATTCCCTGGAGTCCAAGTCCACTTTCAATAGGACGTTAGGCCTTCCAATTCCCCCTGACATCTAATGCCCAACTTAGTACACTGCTGCCAAAGTGAATACTATAGATTGTACTATTTACAGTAGCATTCTAGTTGGCTTGAAAAACGAATGCAGTTTTTAAAGGCAGTACCTTACTATTAATAGGTAATAGAGTGACTGACATTCAATTTGCCTTTCTTCAATAGCAAAATTTATTCTGATTTTGGTTAATAAATCAGTGGTTTATTAAACTTATTTCTCTCTATAATTTGGAGCCTTGCCCCTACTGGGTTTTTTTTTTTTTTTTCCACTCCTTACAATGGTGTCTTACATTTCCATTTTACCAAAGTCTTATTATAGATCTTATTTAGTCCTTGTAATAATTCTCTGAATCTAGAGATTCTGCAATAATTCTTGCAATAATTCTTTGAGTCAAGTTGGGGTGGTATCATTGCCCTCATTTTTTAGGATTAAGAAAGGTTAGCTGGTCTTACACAGGATTACATAGCTTTGATGTGTCAGAGTCAGGACTTCTCGGTAGGCTTTGAATACCTTGTCCAATCTTTTTTTTTGTTTTCTATGAGAGCAATGCCATGAGGGTGTCATATTCTTTAATAACCTGTATTTAAAAGACTAACTCCCACAGGGGAGCAGGGGTGAAGGGGAGTTGTTCTTTCATGGGTATAGAGTTTGATATTTGCAAGATGAAAAAATTCTGGAGATTTGTTTCACAACAGTGTGCATAAACTTTACTGAACTGTACACTTCAAAATGATTAAGATGCTAAATTTTATGTCCTATGTATTTTTACCACAATAGAAAATTGTTTTAAAGAATAAATTCATATAATAAATTCCTTCGACCAGGGAATATGATAGCCCTTACTCATTTACACCAAAATTCTTAGTGAACTAAAGTTTTATAGGTAGCATTTTCTTTTTTCCATCTTGGTCCAGTTCTTTCAGTTCATTAACCTGAAGTCCTGAGGGGTGAGGACTCCCCTAACAGCCCCAAAGTCTTTTCTGGGCTCTTTAGTTTCTGTCAACTCCCTACCCATTTAAACTCACTCCCTGATTTTGAAAGAACTAGATGTTCCGCCATCTTGACAGATGTCTCCATGTCAGACTCTCCCCACCCTCTTTGAGCCCTTGGTTGGCTTTTGTAGAACCCTTCTGCTTCCAAATTTGTGCCTCCTGTGAGTCGGGCTACACTTGTCAGTGGTCAGAATCCTAGGACCAGTGTGAGCAAGACACTTGGGAGAGCTTGCACTGTGAAATTTATAAATATACCCCAAAACATGGGTATATTTACTATGTTTTCAATGCCCAACAGCAATTATTAGCAATGGCCCAGTCATCCCAAAGGAACTTTGCTTGATGAGGGTGGTCATTTTGCCAGTGGTTAATATGATTTTTTACAAATAATTTAAAAAATTTTCTCCAATGGTGAGGACTTTGGAGGTCATCTGAGCCAGTCAAGTACTCAGTGCATTAGTCTCCTCTTGCATATCTTCTGTATTCCTACCCCCCATCCCATACACAGAAAAACTAGACATCCATCTTCTGGAAAGCCTCCAATGAAGGATATGCACTAACTCACAAGACAGGCTGGAAAGCACAGAGGTTAGGAGTTGGAGATGTGTGATCATATCTAGGTGCATATCCAAAGTCTGCCATTTTCCATGTGACCCTGCATGATACTTAGCTTCTTGAAGTCCTACATTTCTCCATCTCTAAAATTAGACTGATAATTGTACCTACCTCCCATGGTCATCTCATGAAATATGTATAGCATTAGCATTGGAAACATAAGCTGTACTCAACAATATCTAAATTAAGTATAATTTCTTTTAACAGCAAATAAGTGTGATGGTATTTCATTCAGGTGATATTCCTTGAGCATCTGTAATGTGTCCAACTCTACTTCAAAATAACATGACACTTAATAATCCAGATATTATTCACAGTGTGTCTCTCTGTGAATTCCAGACATGGGTCTAGTTTGCCATCATGGAGAACTTGTCCTCATGACTACCCTTCTGAAGACAGTTCTCAAGACCCCCAATTGCTTCTCTCCTTTAGATTGAACACCCATGTCTCCTCCTCAGTCATTCTACATTAGAATGGAAATCTTATTCCTTCATTATCTGATTGCTTCCAAGCTAACTTTAAGATTGAATTAGTGTTTATTAAATACCTAATATGTCACCAGCCCTGGGTGAGGTGCTGTGGATGAAGATGAGTAGGATATGCTTCCTGTTCTCATGGGGCTTACCAGTCTGGGAAGGGGAGACCCTGTCAGACCTTGAATGGAGGAGGATAATTCCGGGGCAGAGGGGCCATCTTAGGGGAGTTCCTGGATAGGAAAGATCCCCTGGGCAGAGTTGAATTAATTGCCAGCCGGGGAGGAGTAACCCGTAGCCACTCTCAGATGTCACTGACTATCCAGGCATTCATTACTTTTCTATATTTCTACCCTGAAAAAATCTAAGTGTAGCCCCATCAGAACCAGCCCATGACAAAACTGTTTCAGCATTTTGCTATTAGAGGAGACACAGTATAAAATAAAAGTTAGGATCACAGACTGTAAGCCAGATAGCTGAATTCAGTGCCTACTCTTGAGTGAGCTATTTGACCTCTCTGCCTCACTTTCTTTGTCTGGTAAATGGGAATAAAAATAGCATCTAAAACAATAGAATCCATATGAAAATTGTAAGAGTTATTCTCCAAAAAGCACTTAGAAGAATCTTGGTTCTGATATGCTCTTACTAGATGTTAGTTACTAGTTCTTATTCTTGGTAAATTTGGGTTTGGATTGTCAAAATAAATAAGAAAGCTACCAACAACTTACTAACATTTTAATTTTTCCCCCCTCAATAGAGTTTAAACTTAATGTTCTTCATGTTAGGCATTTTTCCCTTTTATTTGATTCTTTGATATGCTTTATTTCAAGTTAACTTCTTAAAAAAAAAATGAAGTGGAGGGAGCACTTAGAGAGGAAACTATCCTAAGGGAATTGGAGTCTAGAAATAACTATTCTGAGAGCACAAGGGCCCTCTTGTACCATTACAAACAAAGAATAAAAGTCCCAATTTACTTGTGCTAACAGTGCTCAATTGATATTCAGAGAAGGGGAACATCCAGAAAGAAAAAAATAATAACATTTTACAATGATCATTTACTTGGAAAAATATTCATTTTGGTGGAGGAGAACATTGAAGAACTCAATTCAGACCAAGTTTGGGGCACAGACCCACATGTGTCTACTTTCTCTTTCTTTGTCCCTGTTAGACTGTGGCTTCCATCCATTGTACAGCTTGTATGCTGGAAGTGAAATCTTGTCCATCAGGTTTATGCTGCATAAAAACCCAGCAAAGATACAACATAGCCATGATAGCAGAAGATGCCTCTTCCTCTTCCTTAGCTCCAAAGATATTATTTTGACCCATATAATGTTTATGGGGCAGTTTTTCTAACCCAGAAGGGGAACCACGAAATCCTTTCTTAAATATACATGGCTGATTTTTCATTAGAAAGCCATGTTTCACCAACCTTCCTTTTAGTAGCTTCAGCAAATGACAGCCATTAATACAAAAAACATAAGGCACCATTTCAGGGCAGTCTCTCACCTTCAGCATGATTAATATTTGAGGTGGCTTAATTCTTTTTTTTTTTTTTT